TTAATGCGACTACACTCTTAAAAATAAAGGTGCTTCAAAAGGTTCTTCAAGCGATGCCATAGAAGAACCATTTTTGGTTCCACAAAGAACCATTCAGTCAAAGGATCTTTAAAGAACCATCTCTTTCTTGCGTTTTTGTAATCTGAAGAACCTTATTTCACCACAAAGAACCTTTTGTGAAACAGAAAGGTTCTTCAGATGTTAAAGGTTCTTTATGGAACCATTTAGACAAAAAGGTTCTTCTAAGGCATCGTGAAGCACCTTTATTTTTAAGAGTGTAGTTTGGAATCCTCAGTCATTTGAGGGAACCAATCAGCTTGCGTTCTCCTTCAGAGCCCTGGCAACAACCCCCAGAGCACGGGCAAGTGTGCTTTAATCATCCTACTGAGCAGCCAATAGTGGGCACACACACACAGGATCACAGGCAGTCATACAAGAATTCATCAGGCAGTCATATAAGCATTCATGTAAACACACACACACAGAGAGCCAGCTGGGCGTCTGTGTTGAAGTTCCTGTCCTCTCGCCTTTCTCCCATAATTCCCTTTTCTATTTACTCATGATTGCTCTTATTTAACTGACCACGGTTGAACTGAAATCTGCTCCCACAGCCCCATAACCCACATTTAATTCAGCTAAATGGCTTTTTATCTGTTCTAATAGCACTAACTGAATTATTTTCAGTCCCCTTTGTTGTTTGTCTTCCCACACAGATTTCCAGACTTTATGACATTGCGAACTGATGCACTGATCTGCTGACTGGTAAAAGATATATTAAAAATTAAAAAGATTCTTATATATTTTACCTGAAATGTTTAAGAAAGGTATGCGGGACACTTTTTGGATGAATTCTGTGCTAATACTATGGTTGACATATACACCGCTGTTCAAAAGTATGGGGTCGGTAAGATTTTTTAAATGTTTTTGAAGTCTCTTTTGCTCACCAAGGCCGTATTTATTTGATTTAAAAAAAATACAGTAAAAACAGTATTATTGTGAAATATTATTCCAATTTAAAATAACTGTTTTCTATGTTCATATATTTTAAAATGCTATTTATTCTTGTGATGCAAAGCTGAATTTTCATTATCATTATATAAGCAATAATTTTAATATGCTGATTTGCTGCTCAAGAAACCTTTTTTTTTATCATTATCAAAGTTGAAAACAGTTGTCATGCTTAATATTTTAGCGGAAACCATGAAACTTTTTTTTTCAGGATTCATTGATAAATAAAAAAAAATCCAAAATAACAACATTTATTTCGAATAGAAATAGCATTATTAATGTATTTACTATGATTTTTTATCAACTTAATGCGTCCTTGTTGAATAAATAAATTACATTTCTTTTTAAAAAATCATCATCATCATCAAAAAAAAAATGAATGCATTAATTACAAATTACTATTTTAATTAATTAATTAATTACTATACCATGGTATGTTTCTGTACTTGTTTTTATATTTTTTGTAAATGTAATACCATGTTTTTTGGCAGAATTGGCAAAATTACATGGCCAAAAACACAGTAACGCCAAGGAACTTTTGGGTACTTGTTTGTAAGGGATGTAAATACTATTAAATTTAAGTACAGAAATAATTTGATTCTACTGTACATTTCAACGTACTATGGTATTATTTCGCTGCCATCACTCCACCACGGTATTTTTAAAAAGCTAATAAATTACACTGTAAAAAAAATTCCGTAAAATTTATGGTAAAAAAACATCAAATTTGAAATGTAACGCAGGGAATTCTGGGAATGTCAATTTACGGTTATTCACTGTAAATTATACAGTCTTTTTCACTTCCAAAAACGGTATACTACCGTAAAATTAATGTCCAATACATGTAATGTCCAATACAGATTTTCACCGTATATAGTAGGGGAATTTACCGTTAACCATTTAACAGGTTTTTACTGTAGCATTTTTTACAGTGTAGAACACAAAATGTATAGTAGATTATTTGACGTTTCTAATTTATATATTCCAAAAAGACTAATGCATAGTTTTCCTTTATATTGCATACAATTGTCTAATGGATATAATTCATAAAGGCCAGTATTTATCTTTTTAAAGCATGAAATAATCCCTTTCATGTTATGAAACATACAGTAAATTTGAAATGTATGCTACAACACGTTCAAATCTATTATTGGCAAAGAAGGCAGATCTATAATATCTTGTAATATCCATCTTTTATGTTATCAGCGCTTTTGTATAACCTCATGTGGGCGGGTCTGTGTGAATGGAGCTCTAGCAGCGATCTAATATAGTGATCTGCGCTTGAATAGAGGAGCTAAAGTGGCAAACCCGCTGCGCACGCCGTTCCGCTGCCAAGGTTTTGGCTTGTTCTGCTCGTGAACAGGTACCTTCCCGTGAACCCCAGCATTACCCCGCTTGGCACGGCCCAGTAAACAGTTGTCAGACTCTGTGGGCGTCCGAATGTGTCACTGGCCTCCATCACGAGATCGTGTGGCACCGGCTTCCACCGTGACAGTGGGTTTTTGGCCAAAATGAACATAGCACGTATGTCTTTTTGTTGGAGGCTGGCTGCTCTGTGTTTATGCATCACATGTTGGAGGAGTCACCTAACATCTGTGCCTGGCTGAAAAAAAAACAGCATGTGCTGGCACGACTGCTATCCAGTTCCAAAATTACATTTAATAAACAATTGATCATGATCGTGATATGAAGGCAGCACATTTGAGCCCTCCGGATGAGCATAATGAGGTGTATTTTCCTATTATGTGATGGAAAATTCAGTGGTCTCTGATTTAAACCATCACAGAGGGAAAATTGCATGTTGATAAAGGTGTTGCAAGCCACTTAATTAGACCATTAGAGTTCATTATAAAAAATGCAAAACTGTTTTTGCGGTTTAGGGTCATTTCAAACACTGGGGCCTCCTGTTTTAGTGATATCAGTGAGGTAATACTTTTAAAACAAAAGCTCCATTAAGTTTTAGGTGATCTATCTAAACAAGTAGAAATAATTGACACGTATTACTGGAAATAAGTTGCTGTGTATATGTGTTTGTAGGATAATTAATGATGTAACCTCATTAAGATGATGAGTTTAGGGACTTACATTCTCAACAGTGATCAGCTGCTGCCATCTGCTGGAAGATTCAGCTACTGCAGGTTACTGTTGATTAAAAAAATGATTGAGCACATATTGAGCGGTTTGCGTTTATAACGCACCACAAACCTTAATTTTGGTGTATAAACGGTTAGTTAAATTATTATACATTTGTACTGCTTAAATAAACCGAAAACAAAGCAAAAAAAGATCTAAGTACACAAAAAAACGTTGTGTATTTGTGTACAACAGAGCTTTGTTTTAATGAATTAAAGAAAAAACGTGTTTTACGATATAGATTTATATTACAAATATATGTATATCTATATAGTAATTAATACATTTATTTTATAACATAATTTTATTAATATATTATTATAAAATGATATAAACAAATATTTTTATTATATATTTAATATAAATATCATATGATGTAGTATTAAATTGTATGAATATATTTTAATACATTCATTAAGTAATACTTTCGCCTTCTAATATTTTACAATACTGTTATTGGTTATAATATGTGGCCTGTGAAACTTGTATTGGGAGTCAATTAATTGGAAATATTGTATTTTGAAGTCTTCATGTGTATTTTGAAGGCTTAAAGTCAGACATCTAACTCTGACACGTCGTTGAAAAGATCATTCCGGGTTCAACAGATTCTCACACTGACCCAGAATCCAAACCTCCTGTTGGCTGCTACTTTCTGAGTTTTGAGGCCAAAGGAAGCTAATTATACCACAATGGATGTTGCACATAAACATGAGGCCACCGTTGTGCCATCAGGACATGAAATATGTGGGTCACAGTAGCTCGCTGAACCATATTTATTGAAAAACCTGGGGGGGAAAAAAAGACCAGGGAGAAACTTGAATCGAGAGTTTTATGGTATTATGGAGATCAGGGATAGAAAGTCCAAAGGCAAAAGTCTGTGAAGATGCTGTTTCATATGCAGTGCAGCCCCCGTGACAAAATAACTCTAATCTATAGATGAATTTTTCATGCCGCTCGGTCTGAACCGTCAGGACGGTGGCAACAGGAAGCAGACTAGAGAGGAGGAGTTCTGTCAGGAAACATCAGATCTGATTTATGAAACGTTACAGAGCTCTGCACCAACCAGCTGCTTCATAGATGCTGCTGTGTGTTTACTGCACTCAGACACACAGCTTTATTTGCTGACTTGGGTGAGCAAGCTTGACTTTGCATGACATGACCCTGTTGAACTGAGGTGAATATAGAAAACATTAACAAGTCATGATTAAAGGAATCACAACACTAATCTTCTATTGAATGGCTTCGACATTGACATTTGTTAAAACTAGAAAATGTGTATTTAATTATACTATTTGAACTTGTATATGAAATAAAGTATATTTCCTCAAATGTGTACTCCCTCATAATTTGTGACTAACTTTTGGGAGTTTGAAAAATAAATATATTCTGTAATATGTGAATTTTCAACCACATGACCAATTACAAAATGTGCAGTAGCTTTACAACAATGCATGTGCAAATTAATTACAGTATCCCATAACGCACGACTTCCAGACAAAACATCAAATGGCCATTTCAGCTTCAGTGAATAAGTAGTACAATGTATGCAGTACATAGCAACTGTGAAGCAAACAGATTCCATGAAGAGCAGAGGAGGTTCAGGATGTCTAATGTAACCATTTCTTTGAGAGAGTTCAACGCCTCTCGTCTTATTAAAATGAGTCATCCATAATTATGAGCGATACTGAAAAAAACAAACCAGGCCTTTGCAATTCATAACATTGCAAGACCTACAACTACACAAACAACAGAAAACACGATCTGATGTTAACGAACCCAACACCATTTACATAAAAACACAAATTAGAGTGGAAGAGAAATGAGTGAATTTATAAAGCAAATATTAAAATTTGACATGGATAGATATATATATAAAAAGAGACCATGTTATGAATGCAAAGAATCAAAAGACTTAAACGCAAGATGAAAGAAAAAATTATGTACTTTACAAAAAACTTAAAACTCCCCAACATCCACCCTTTTGTCCCGAAACTTGTTCCTGGCTTTGGTTCGAGCTTTAAACGCGGCTGCATTGTAGAGGTGCTGAAAGAACAAAAGCATTTAATTACACAACAATCAAAACTTGGAATTTCTCAAATATCATACAAAAAAAAAACGCTACACATAGAAAATTAACAGCTTTCCTACCCTCTCCAGTCTGGAGCTCTTCATGGCTTTCAGAGCAGCAGAATCGATCAACATCGGTGGTCCCAGTTCAAACACGTCCCTTATGAACTCATTCGCCTGTGGTCAGAAAATTAAGCTTCAATAATCACTTCAAAGATCCCATTTTTGGATCGATTCGCAACATCTGAGAGCGTCACCTGTAGATGGTAGTTCATCCCAGAGCCAACAAACTCTCTGAAGGCATCATAAGTCCTCTTCTTCACCCAGCTGTCAATGACCATTCGCTCTGTGGCGAAGCGGATTGTCTCGCTCTGAAAATCCCCTTCCTGTTCCAGAGACAGAAGCGAGGTCAGAGTCTGAGCTGCAGCACTGATGAGACTGTCAACTATGACAACTGTTTACTTCCTCTCTCACCTCTACGGCCTTGAGGACATCTCTGAAGACAGATCTTTGCTTCCTCTTATCGGTCTTGGCTCTGTGTTTGTTGCAGTCAGTGGCTAAAGCGTTCAGCTGCTCACACAACTGTTCCCAGTCGTCATAATCAAACTCCTGTGAAGGTACAAGTCACATTAGACAAGAAACAAAATTATTAAAATAAACATTTCTAATAAAAACATAAAATGACAAAATACCTTGTTGTTTGCTCATTAATTCACTAAACTATTAAAACAATTTTATTTAAAGTTAAATACTTTTTTTTTATTTTTTATTATGAATACATATTCAATCAAATATATTAATATTTAAATGAATATTAATATATTAATTTAAACAAAATAAATACACTTAATGTATTTAATAAATTTATCATTTAATATTTAATTAATTTCATAATTATATTAAACCTTAAAATATTTTGAAATTAAATATATTTTAATACTATTTTAATACACTGTTATAAAATAATTTTAAAAATTACATAATTTTATAAAATTTATTAAATACTTATTTAAACATTAATACTTTAAATTGAATGCTTAATAAAATATTTTAATTATTTGGATTTTTTTTCAAATTATTATTGATTTTATTAAAATATTTCATACATTAATAATATTATTTTATCAAATACAATATTTATTAAAAACAGGTTTACATTTAAACCATTAAATTCAATAAATAATTTAATAAATTATATTTTAATATTATTTAATAAAATGCTAGAAAAATGTCAATAATTTTCTTCTTATAAACACACACAACTTACAGGGTCAACATCTCTGATGAGCTCAAACAGGAGGGCGATGGTCTCCCCAGCAGCAATTCTCATGTTGACGTCGTCATTCTCCAGCAGACGTGGAAGTTTAGCGAGATGTCTGAAAACAATAGCACATGCTTATTGGGATAAACCTGGGAGGATGGTGTACCTTAGTTGTAGGTCCCAACATCTTCTTCAAGATCAGTTTGTGAATACCATCACGGATCTATAGCCTAAAACAGTGTTTTCCTACACTTACTTTTGTGCAATGGCTCTGATATGGCTGCCGGTGCAGATGGTAAGCAGCAGGGCCCAGGACAGGAGAGCGTTTGTGTGGAGCTGCGTGGTTTGAGGATTCACAGAAGGTCTGCTTCCATCTTCCCTGACGTACGAATGGGTGAAGAGGCTCTCAAAACACTCCATAGTGGCATACACATCCTGGAGGTGACACAAACAACAGGTTTGAATCAATCCTGAAAGCCTTGGAGGTGTCAACATGTCTAAGTGCACGGAAAAACTACTCCACACATGTTTACGGTTAACTTGGGAACCACTCTGACTGGATCATTAAATCACTCTTGAACCGGACGAGCCAGATTTCAGAATGAATCAGTCAATCAGATTTGAGAACCAGTGGAAAGTACTGGCTCAAAAGACCAAATAATTCACAAGTGATCTGGTTCTCAGATACGGCTCACTGATTCGGTGATCTGTTTTCATGCTGATGATTTCCATGATGGTTGGTTGGTGTTTTAATGCCATGTCAGGTTCCTTGGCTATTTTTATGGCAAGTAACAAGTTCAAATGCTATAAAACAGCAATACAAAAAGCTATACAAGGTGTTTAAAACCAAAAATGGTTTCAAGGTTGACTCGTATTCAAAATGATTCGAGTAACAATTTCCTAAGAGAATTTAAACCAGCATAATTTGAATGAATGGTCATTGTATGGAGAAAATCTGCAGATAAAAGTCTGTTAAAAAAATCTTTGTGGTCCACAGAAAACTATTTTACAGCATATGGGTTTGAAATTACATTGAAGGTGTCATTTATTTTCATCCCTTTAAGACTGACGTCCACTTGAAAGTTAAAGAAAGCCAAACTTACCATGATATCATCTTCTGCAACAAGAGTGCAGAGGCCTAGACTTGTAGCACACTAGAAAAAGTCGAGATCAACAGATTGTTACAATCTCAGATTTGCTGGATTGTGAAATCATTTCAATTCTTCAAGGCGCAGTAGAGGAGCACAACCGCTTACAGCTTGTCTGGCTTGAATGTTAGCTGCTCCATCGTTGAGGATGGTCTTAAATACAGGTTTAAGGGTCTTAAAAACCTCTTCGCTCTCAATCCCAGACCCCAGCTGGATGCACAGGAGACACGCCAGCGAGGCTGCAGCACACTGCTCCACTCCTTTACCTGGTTTGCAAGTGCAAACAGCCAACTCAATTTTCTGCACTGATTTCATGGCAACATCTAAAGAAAATTTTATTTCCAACTATTCAAAATCACAAATGAAGCCAACCTTTCTTCAAACAGCGCTCAATGCTTTCTGCACTGATTTCATGGCAACATCTAAAGAATTTTATTTCCAACTATTCAAAATCACAAATGAAGCCAACCTTTCTTCAAACAGCGCTCAATGCTGTCCGTGATGGTCATCCTTCTCTCGGAAATGAATTCGTAGAGGATTTTGGTTGCCATGGCAGTCTTTAGTCCATCAAGGGCACCTTGTCTGGTCTTGGCACTAGAAAGGGAGCATAATTACTCAGTTTAGACTGCTGCAGGCTTGAGGTTTTAGCAGAAATGGATTATTCTGAACAATCAACCACAGTTGATGTCAGAAATCCCAACGAACACAAACCTCTTATCCACTGTGCTGTCGATGTACACCTTCAGTTTGTACTGGAAGTCCTCTTGAGCCATTTCTTCAGTTTCACCAGCTGTCAAATAGGATGAGAGGCAGCCAATCATAAATGTTGCTTTCTTCTAGGGCTGCACGATAAATCGCATGCGATATTTAATGCGCATCTTGTCAGAAAGCCGGTTCTGTAATCAGCGGTAAATCTCCATCACGTGTGTGCTTTCACATTGAGCAGCATTAACTACACAGAGCCGTTGTTCACTGACAAGCTGCACAAAAAATTGCACAAATATGAACGTGGTTTTGCGCAGCTCGTCAGTGAACAACGGCTCTGTGTAGTTAATGCTGCTCAATGTGAAAGCACACACGTGATGGAGATTTACCTCTGATTACAGAACCGGCTTTACTGATAAGATGCGCGTTAAATATCGCATGCCATTTATCGTGCAGCCCTACTTTCTTCTCTGATAACGCTCTACACAAGAGCTTATCCATCCTTTGCATTGCACTGTATTATAGTAAAAAAAAATAAAAAATAGACAACAAATGAGACCGTGAATACCCACCTTCCTCTGCTGCACTGGTTCTTTCACTGAGGCTGCTGCAGTGACTGAGGGTCTCAATAGATGAATCTTCATCACTGAACGGCTGGACATTCCCCGGTTGTCCCCCTGCAAAAACAGATAAACTATAAATCATTATTTAATAAAAACTTCATTGCAAAGCTGCATTACATAATTAAACCAGCACATTTTCAGCATGAATGCCACAGTCAGACTACAATTATTAATACTGTGAAATATTACAACTTCACAATACTAATCCAGTCCTAACTCTAGTCTTCGGTGTCACTTTTCCTTTTCTTTTGAGGAAACCGTGATCTTTGATGAATTGGAAGTCGAAAAGAACAGCATGTATTTGAAATGGAAACCCTTTGAAACATTATAAACATCTTTATTGTCACTGCTGATCATTTCAGTGGATCCCTCAACTAATAATTATTAGTTTTTCATAAAAAAACATTTGAACAGTAATGTCCTTTCAGTGAACTTTCAAAGAACAAAGACATTATTTGTATGAACCCTTTCAACAGTGACAAACCCTGTAATGACACTTATATAGAAATATGTTTTCCAACTATACATTTCAGGCGAGTGTATGAAGTGGGAATGTCACTTCGACCTTATACAACCATTAAGTCTCCATGTCACGCCATGTGTTATCAGTCCGGCAAAATGCAGACATCTGCAAAAGGTACAAAGTGTCAGAGGACAAACTTCTACTGTAGAACTTATGCAAACAAAACAGCCACTATGTGAGATTCCTGAGAGAGAAGTAAATACAACTTGATATAGTACAGCAGAGATACAGTAAAACAACAAGTGGGATGGTGTGAAGGACTACAGCAGACTGCCAGCACACTAAGTCTCTTCTCCTTCTCAAAGGCCTGGGCAAATCCAGCGAGCAGATGGGATGAGAACATTTAATAACAGACTACAGACTGATTTAAGCACATCTACAGCAGAAACATTTGGACTTGGTGTTCCTGGTTCCTTCTACAGTCAGACTACAATTATTAATACTGTGAAATATTACAACTTCACAATACTAATCCAGTCCTAACTCTAGTCTTCGGTGTCACTTTTCCTTTTCTTTTGAGGAAACCGTGATCTTTGATGAATTGGAAGTCGAAAAGAACAGCGTGTATTTGAAATGGAAACCCTTTGAAACATTATAAACATCTTTATTGTCACTGCTGATCATTTCAGTGGATCCCTCAACTAATAATTATTAGTTTTTCATAAAAAAACATTTGAACAGTAATGTCCTTTCAGTGAATTTTCAAAGAACAAAAGACATTATTTGTATGAACCCTTTCAACAGTGACAAACCCTGTAATGACACTTATATAGAAATATGTTTTCCAACTATACATTTCAGGCGAGTGTATGAAGTGGGAATGTCACTTCGACCTTATACAACCATTAAGTCTCCATGTCACGCCATGTGTTATCAGTCCGGCAAAATGCAGACATCTGCAAAAGGTACAAAGTGTCAGAGGACAAACTTCTACTGTAGAACTTATGCAAACAAAACAGCCACTATGTGAGATTCCTGAGAGAGAAGTAAATACAACTTGATATAGTACAGCAGAGATACAGTAAAACAACAAGTGGGATGGTGTGAAGGACTACAGCAGACTGCCAGCACACTAAGTCTCTTCTCCTTCTCAAAGGCCTGGGCAAATCCAGCGAGCAGATGGGATGAGAACATTTAATAACAGACTACAGACTGATTTAAGCACATCTACAGCAGAAACATTTGGACTTGGTGTTCCTGGTTCCTTCTTCCTATCCTCTATTTGGTCCCAAACAGGCCTGTGTTACATAAGCAGGCTAGTGTGACCACATGGCCTGAATTAACCTCAAACACACTTTTTGACAGCAGCTTCCTCCAATTTGACATTTCACATAACAAATTCGATCTTATATAATATCTTGCACAATAATTAATTTATTAATCTTAGATCTTAATATTTTAACATTAGTGATCGAAGTTGATTGTTGTTTTGATATTAATCATGCTACACTATATGATAATCATCAGTTAATTCCATATTAAGCTTTCGTCGTTCGATACATTCAATTAATCCGTTTTATATAGACCCTAATATTTTAAACTAAACCACATTCCCTTAAAAACAAACACCACATTTAGAAACTCCAACGTACATTTTCTACTTTCCATGACTCACATTGTGTATTATTCTTTTGTTTGTGTCAAAAGAAAGACACTCTTGGCTGTCAACCAATGCGGGTCACGTAGTGATGGGAGATGTAGTTCTCGTCCTTCTATTTCATTTACGCGGTCGGCGTGTAAAGAACTACAAACCCCCAGAATCCCTTTCGCGCCTCAGACCGCTAAAAAAAAAAAAACGGTCATTTCCAGATATTCCATCCCACTTACCTCTGCCGCTCCTTTTCTTGGCCCGTGGCATTTAGCTTAAATTAGTAGTTCCGCGGCTAAAATCAACCAATACACGACCAGTTTTTACTATAATGTCTTTTCAGTTGAGTATATTCCAGTGGCACAGTGAAAAGGAAAGTATTAAAAGCGATTCCGGTGTTAGACTTGGAGCGCGAGCGATACATTTTCCCTCTCAAACTAGGGCTGCGTCAGCGCGCTGCCGCCAAGCGCTTTTATACGACCACTGGTGACGTGCTTAAAAAGGCGTTACCTCACGTGGACCCGGAGACAGTAGAGGACCAATCACGTTTGAGAACGCGCCGACGTCATCACATGTGACAGACTTCCGCCTGGTTTGTATTGGTTTTTGCTGTCACGTCCTCATGCGGTAATGTGTTCACGTTACACAGAGTACAGCACATGTAATGCCGGATTATTATCCTTAATATTACTATTATTATGTGTTTCTTCAATTTTGCGGCCTTTTATGTATGGTGCTTTTGTTTATTAAAACCAACAGATTTTATTTTATATATGAAGGTAACATTTAAACTGTCTTGGAAACTTTTTACCGTGCTTTAATCATTATAATTTATTTTTCATAATTTCATATTTCAGAAATGCTCTTTATGTATAGTTTTCACCCTCCAGACATGAAAGACATGCATGTGTATGGACTACTGGAAGTTTTTATTAGACGAATCAGAAATAGGCCATTGATTTGAACTTGGTTATTTCCTTATGCTACGTTTTCACTGCAAAGGTGGCACAGAAGCGCTTTTGAAGTGGCATTTAGGTGTCTTTACGCAGGCTGTTTAATGCTGTTCAAAGGTGGCATAAATGCATTTACACAGCAATTACAAGTAGTTCATAGTAGTGGGCCATAGCAGGCATAATTTAGTCTGGCTTTTATGTAGCTTTGTGAGTTTACACTAAATTTTGAGCAGGCACAGAGCAGCCTTAACTTAGCTGTGTAAATACACCTTTAGAGTGTCCACAGGACCAAAAGTGCACATAGTTGAAAAAATAAAACACACTTGTGTATAACATTTCTGTAGTTCATGTTATCTAAGTCTTGTGGCATAAAAGTCACGAAGAAAATGAATACTGGATGAAAGACGTGCAACTTCTGTAGCCACGTGCAACGCATGTTATAAGTGCAGCATTGTGCTGTTTTGTTGCACATGGGTTATCAGTGCAACAGGTGGACTCAGGGCACTGGGCAATGCTGAGAATTTGACCAGCTGGCTGGCAAAAGCATAGACTGTGTCCTACACATGTCTATAAGCCCTTTGTTAACATAATTCAGAGGGGAATTGCACCAGTGGTGCAATATTGCAATATTTAAATAAGAAATTATTTTAATATCAGTACAATTCTGCTATTATTAAAGCAAGCGTTGTATGTTTACATGCCCGAGCAAAAGCTAGCACTTCTAAATAAAATCTGCCTTAAAGGGATACTTCACCCCAAAATGAAAATTTTGTCATTAATCACTTACCCCCATAAAAAGCCGTAAATACCGTAAAAACTTTATTCGTCTTCGGAACACAATTTCAGATATTTTGGAGGCTTGTGACTGTCCGAAGCTGTTAAGGGTTTGGAACGACATGGGGGTAGATTAATGACAACATTTTCATTTTGGGGTGGAGTATCCCTTTAACAACTAAATCTTAGCAAATAAAATGGCACCACTAGAGAGAGCTCTTTCAAAATACTTGCTCATGATAAAATCAAGCACCTGCCAAGTTCAGAGTAATCTGACATAGGAAGAAAAAAACTCATGTATATCCTGGATGGCCTGAGGATGAGAACATTTTTAGCAAATTTTCATTTTTAGATGAACTATTCCATTATTATCATCCCTAATGCTTTTCCACTTTTCATTCATCTGCTTGTAAATATGTATTCTCCCCAGCAAAAATCAAACCCAACACAATGTGCTGACAACCTGATTACACCTATTAAAAATACATCAAGCAAGTCATTACACGTTGGATACACTAATGTACCCTGACTTTTGGCAAATTCTGAATGTGTGTGGCAGTTCAATTTGAAATCTGCTGTTGTCATTCTATAAATAAAAAAATAAAATAGAGGCTATAAGATTTTTATCTTCTTCTGCTTTATATGTCATGACTAGGGAGCCATAACAAAATAATAAAGACTGGCCGCTACTTATGGTGTTGTCTGCTTGTGAGGCGATTGCATTAACATCGTCATTGTCTGTTTTTGTTTTGTTGATGAGAGTACAAAGTGTTGTCTTGGCAAAAGGTGAGCACTGGCAATATTTTTGCAACCATTTTCCAGGTTTCCAGCCCACACGCTGTTTTTTCTGGGCATTGATTCAGACACTTAAGACTTCGGAACGGACAACTGAATGAATTTCATTTCTTCCACCACTTCCCTCCCCACATATTCCCCCTGCCTCCTTCTTTTAGCCTCGAAGTAGGTTGGAAAATGTAGCCAAGTTTGTTCTCTAAATGTATTATGACTCCTCCGGAAGTGTTTATTCAGCCGTAATGGTCATAAATGTCAAACTGTATATCAGCAAAGCAGGCTTACTGTATCAGATTTACTTGATGATAAGTTTTGTGTGTTTTGGATGAAATGATGCATTTTCCTGATAAAGTATTTTAAGTTTGACTAAGCAAAAATGCTGATCTCAGTGCCAACACTAAACCAGATTGACCAAGATGACGTGAGCTGTTCTCTCTAAACTGCTGAAAGAATAGGTTATGGGTAGTTGCCAGGTTGCTATGCGGTTAGTTTTTATTTTTATATTTTCTGTTGTCATTTTAATTTTAGTGCCAATTTTAGTCATTTTTTTCTGCAAAATTTTTATAAAATTCAGTTTTAATTGTTATAGGACATCAAAGTAAACTAACTTAAATAAAATATGTTTAAGGTTTTTATGTTTTATTTTATCTTAGATACTGTTATTAACTATATATATATATATATATATATATATATATATATATATATACTATATATAAGAAACCTGTTATGTATGGGACCATAGGAAAAGCCCGCCTCCACGTCTGTGATATTCTGATCCCTATTAAATAAATACTATAATAATAATAATAATAATAATGGGGAGAAATCCCAATATAAGTAGATCCTAATATTATTTAATATTATTAATCCCAATGTTACATTATTATTTTTTATATTGTTGTTTTTATTTATTTTTTATTTCATTCGCCCAATATTATTAGTTATTTTTCTATTTTTGTCACTTCTCTTGTTGTGCGTACTGATGTTTATACAATATTGTATGTATAGCAACCATGCCTTTCATGCTAAATACTTTAAAACTGACAGTAATAGTTTTAGTTTTAATATAAATTGGCTCTTGCATTTAGCAAACACCACTAAATAGATTGTTCATTGCTGAAACACTGAAGTTTGATGTAGATAAACTGATATACACGATTCTAGGAAATAGACGTATTGCCCTTGAATACTTAAAATGATATGCGTGTACCATGTGACTTCACCATGCTATTATGAATTTGCTCATTTAGTCGACTAAGCCTTGGCCGACAGCAGTCCTGTCTCTTTGCTGAGGGCCAAGGTTACTTTGTTCTGACTGCTTTGGGTTGCGTGACTACCGTCTTCGACCGCAGTTCATCATTTCAGCACTTTTTTTCTCTTTTTTTTTCTTTTCTTGTCACTGCCCCTGAGATGTCTTTCTGCTGACCCACAGAACCGCGATGCGTGAGAGAGAGAGAGATGGAAAGGCAGGCTGATTGATCTTGCAGAATAACCACAAATCTCTTCCCCCGAAAGAACATGATGAAAACATAAGATCATAAAAACACATGTGGCTGTAAAAACAGTGATCTGCACACCCAGTATGGACATTTTCAGTAACATGAAGTGCTCCGGCCATGTCAAATCTGTATTTTTCTTTCCATTTCATCATTTTATTACATATGACAAGACCGGCTGTCCGTGTAGAGCAGTGCCACCCTGTAGACCACAAGATCTCTCTGTCCATTCAGAGCCTGTCTGTGTTGTCTCCATTGACTTGATGCCCCAAAACTGACAGCACAGAGCAGCCCACGACGACATGCATCCATTTTTAAAGAGCTCACCAAGACGTCCTTAAATAATATATTCTGACAGTGAAACGCAGGCTGCATTCTTTCATTCTGACTCTCTACGTACAGCAACACGTCCGTAGAAATATAAAGGCAACAGTCTTAAGGAAACTGATAAAATGGCAGCAAATTACACCAAACGCACTGTTAAGTTTTAAATTCATGACAATGTTTTTGTCACAGTGGTATCAATGTATACTGCCTACATAGGGAGCTGCCTTTTAAGACAACATTGATCATGGAACCTCATTACTGACTATTTTGGAAGAGTTTAGCATACTTTAGCATACTTTTCAAAAGAGTAGCAACCTTATTAAAATAATATATTTTAAAATAATGTGCCTAAGTGCTAATTCAGTGTAATGCTATCAGACACTTAATTGTATGTTATTTACAATTAAATTAAAATATACTATAGTTTTAATGCATATTACATTTTTAGCTTGACTTTAGCTTAAGTACATCTTTATATGTAATACTAAATAAATAAATACTTTAAAGTGTACTGTTGAATGTAATGACAAGCATTCAAGTATGATAAACTAAATTATAGGCTACTTTAATGTCAATTATATTAAAACGTGTATGTCATGTTTTAAATATATTTGTAATCACACATTTATAACGAAGATGCAATATCGTAAATTTAACTTGCATTAAATGTTAATTTCAAAATGATATTCAATATCAAGTAACACACTACAGTTGAAATTATAATCAAATACATTACATGTGCAGAATGCTAGTCAACACATCAAAATAAATGTACTTTAAAGCTGGATTGTTAAAATGTGATGATGTACTTTAATGTAAAACTTTCAATCTGACAATATTACAAAATGTACTTTTTTAAAAGTGTGCTTAAGTCAGAGACACATAGTCGTGAAAGTGTTCTCTTTTAGTAGTGTTCTTTATTTTAAGTGGCCTTTTATTTCAGGAAAATTTCTGTATATTATACAGTATATATTATATTATACAAATTTGATGTACACTACAAGTGCACATTCAACACAGTTAAGCACATTTCTTTTTCACAAAGGAAAAACCAAAAAATACATATCACACAGAAATATTGGGTAAAATATCTAATTTGATTAGTTTAGGCCAGAGATGTCCAAACCAGGGC